TCTGCTAATAAAACATTTCGAGCAGCAAGATCACGATGAATACACTAGATGAAAAACAAAAAAAGAAAATTTAGTTAATCTATTGTTTCTCTTTGTTTTTAATGTTTACTTTTTTTGAATGTAAATATTCCATTCCAGATGCAACTTGTAAACAAAATAAAATTAAATCAATTGTTGTTAATGAACGTATATAATCATCATCAGTAATTATAGTTTCTTGTTCATAATTATCCGTATCTGAAGGACTTTCATATAAACCTGATAGAGCATGACCAGGTGGACGTTTACGACGTAAATAATCACGTAAATTACCATATTTAGCATATTCAACAATTAACATAACTTGACCTAATCAAGATTTATAATTAACCTATAGAAAATTATTGAAAAAAACTATTTTACCTCCTTTTGTACAACAACCAAGAAATGATATAATATTAACATGTTTACCAACCATTTTCATTACTGATAATTCTTTAAGTAAATTTTCAACTTCTTCTGGTGTTGCATCATCTAAAATATAAATTTTTGTGAAACACGACCTAAAGGAAGTGTTGACGTATAGGCGTAGAAATTTCGGTCCCCTCTTTCTGGAGCTTCTGAAGAACGGATCATCATAAATATTTGAAAATTTCAGGATACGTAGATCTCGATGAGTAGAGCAAAAGTTGTCATAGCCCCCAAAGTTCTAAATACTTCCTTCTAGGAAATATCTAGATCGCAAAGATTAAAAATCGTCCTGCTTTCTCCTTTTTTTTTAAATATCTTTTTATCTCTTTCTATTCGAATAAAAGATCAAACGGTACCATACTTTTCAAAATAAAAAAACTAGGCATTTCAAACAATGTCCCATATGTGTAAAAAAAGGTTTTAGCTCGATCAAAAGTACCATATCGGAGAACCGAAGGTGATTCTGCACTACTTTTTTTGTGTAAAAATTGATTTTAAGAAAACCAGAAAATAAATTTTCTTGTATATATCAGAACTTTTTTTCTTCAACTAAAGTGATCGAAAACTAATGGTGTTAGAGGTTCATGACCGATGTTCTCAACACCTTTAGGAATTATCATTAGAAAAATTTGGCACACAAGGAGTAATCACAGCGGAGTTTTTCTGCTAGGAATTTCGAAAGTGTGATTTAATAGAAGTATTAACTAACAATGAAGAGCACTCATTTATATGGCATTTGACAGAGACCACTTTGAAGCTATACCAAAAATCTAAAAATTACTGATTTTCACATCCGAAAAGGAGAAGGTCTCTTAACAACGTCTCCTATCCCTTTCCCGCGTCACAGATGTTGTTGCTATACGATCAAAGACTGTATATGAACTACTTTTTTATTGTATTTCTGAAGGATTAATCAAAATAATAGTGAAGAAATGTGTCCCATAATAGAATAAGACGATGTCTCTATAATTAGCAATAGCAGCTACATCGTGTTTTACATTTTAGTTCCGCAAGTAATGCGCGTGGGTCTTCTGTTCAACCATACTCAAAACACCGCCGTAATCTGTCATCCCAGAAAATAGTAGGTAATAATGAGGAATATGATGACAATTCTCTAGAGAAAAAAAAACCGGCTTGTAAAACGGTATAACGGATTAAGACGAAATACTGTACAATTCAGTACAGTAATACACTGTTTTCAATATAAAAACTAACCTCGAACAGTTTTGATTGCTACTGTTGTTACTTTTTCTTTTGAATTAATACCCTTTGCTACACCTTGATATACAAAACCAAATGCTCCTTTTCCAATTAAATGACCAACTGCAAGACTGTGAAAAACAAAAAAAAATTAAATCTATTTCCTAGATAAAAGTTTTTCTTTTCTTTTTTTTTTTACTTTTCTCGAGAAAATTCACATTGATCATCATAATATGATGAAATAATTGTTGATATTGTTCCTTCAGTTTGATTACGATGACAATTATCTTCAATTAAAAGTTTTTTTGTTTTTGGATCAATATCACTTCGATATAATTGATTCTTTTCATCATAAAAAATATTAGATTAATTTAAACATAATAATAAAATAAATAATTTAAACTTACATTTTTTAAATTACTAATACCTCTTGTAGCTAATATACGTGTTGCTAATAAAGTTTGTTGTAAACTTTTTTCATTACGAAAATGATAAATAAGAAAAAAAATAAATGCAAAAAGTAATATTCCAATAATACAACCAATTAATATTATTAATTCATCAGATAATCGACTTGATATATAATGTCGTCTATTTGATGATATATTTTGTAATAATAAAGGTCTTTCAGAATCTTTAAAAAGAAAAAATATTTTATTAATAAAATGAAAAAAAATCTATATATGGAACAATAAATGAATTTATTTACCAGGTAAAACAGTAAGTTGATGAATTAAATCATTAAAACCATATTCATTTAAAACACGACAGAGATAAACACCTGTATCATTTTGTTGTAAACGTTTAATAGTCAATAATTTAACTTCATCTTCAGACATTGTATGTGGATTATATTCCTAAAATAAATATAAAATAAAGTTTTATACAAATTCAAATAAAATCTATACTTTCATCTCAAAAAAAAAACACAAATAAAATAAAATAAAATAAAACAAATCATCAAGCAAATTCATACATATATATATAATCATCATGATCGAATTATATATACTTATGCTTACTACACATATATTAACGAAATAAATAAAAATTCAATAGTTTTAGCAAACAGAAATCAAAAACCATAAACAAATAACAGCCTCAAATAAAAACCAAATGATACGGATACGATAGCTTTTTAAAATACAATTCTCATTTTTTTATTTCATTTTAATGATAGCATGCAATAGAAATTATCAAATAATAAAAAACAAAAAAAAAAAATTTCAAAAGCACATAGCAAAAAACGAAAATAGAATTGTTGATTTTTATATTTATTGTTACCTGTCGTTTTCCTAGACTAAATCTTGATCCATTAGAAAACTATACATAGACAGATGTTTGTTTTTTTCTTTTGTTCGATATTATTATTTATATTTTGTTTTAATAAAAATCAAAATCAAAATGTCAATTACCTTAAGAAATTCTAATTCATTTTGTTGTTCATTTTTATGAATATTTTTTATTGATTTTCGTTGAACAAACCATTGAACAAATGGACTTGAATCCGAATAAAATAAACATTCAAATGTTACATTATCACTTTCATATCGTGTTACATTTGTTGATTTAGATATAAATACTGGTCGATCAAGACTACGTCCTTGTACAATTAATTGAAATGATCGACTAATTTTTCCTAAACTATTTTCAATAATACATGTATACATTCCTGCTTCATACATTGTTATTTTAGAAATATTTAAATATATATTATCAACTGAAAACTAAAGATAAAAAAAAAAGAAATAGAATTTATTTAACGAATTCATTCTTTTTTTTTACCAATTCATACAATTCTGGTGAAAATATTTGTTCATCTTTAAACCATGTT